CTTAAAACTATGTCACGAATTTTCTATGGTAAATTTGTTACAATTTTGTTGTCATTTAGTCATTGACATATCAGATGCAATTGTAGAATCGCATGCATCGTCTGTACACGTCGAGCGATCGCAGCCGCTCCGTCAACAGTTGGGCCACAAAGGCTTAACGCTCACGTACGGTCACGATATTCGAGACGTGCGGGTATCCGAAAACGAGTTATGTCGAAGCTGGGTCAAGTCAAGTCAAGAGGCTGTAAAGAAGGCGACATCATCCTTAACTTAAGGATTAGGGAGAATGACAGATTGCGGCCACAAATCTAAACGCCGACCTAGCATGTATAGTTGTTTGACATAGCATCATGGTAGAAAAGCATCACTGTGCCGAATTGGAGGTCACAGGTCTAATGGAAGGCAGATTTTAGACATTTTCTGAGTCATGTTCTGACGAGCGATTGAAAAACTTCTTTGTCTTACGGTACCTAGCATTTTTATGCGCATTATTAAAGCCACCATGAAATCACTTTCTGCTGACATGCGAAGAGTAAGTGATCACTAACCTTTTGCCTCAAGAGGAAGTTAAACATGGAACTTGCTGACTGTCTTTAGAAAGAATTGACTGCCGGGTTTCTAGTAGAATCTTATACATGCCTGGTGTACAGGCACAATGTCACAGTGAATTTCAAAAGCTAAATTTGGATTAAGAGTTTATCGTCCTGAAATCGTATAATTTATCTGGCATTCTGTAACTGTCAGTATGTTACAGTAACGTATGGCTCACTTGCCTGGCCTACTGCCCAGTGCAGTAGTTTGGGTACTGAGTTTTGACTTAATGGCTACAGTAGCAGCTCTCTATTGCGCAGCCTGTAGGCCTTGCGTAGGTACATGGATGAGCTACCATTCTGTCTTGCAGATGTTTTCTACACGTATGAGCGAGCTTCATCTTAACTGTAAGACACTTAACGTACACGCCATCTACTTGCCAACTTTCATAACGATCCAACCGAACATTCTTTGAGAAGAATTTCTGATCACTCTCCTGGCATTCACTGTTTCGCGTGTATGTGAACATCATTTGGCAACAGGGTTAACTAGAATCCCACCACTCCCACACCAGCATTCAACCGCAGTAAAACTTGATGAGCGCTGTCGCTCTGCGGCACTTGCTATCTTACATTGAAGTAAAGAAACTATGCGACTAAACGTATGTCAAATTCTACCTGATAAGAGGTTCTCAATAGTTAAAAATCAAAAACTGGCGATTTGATATTAGTTTCCTAACATGATTGCTGATATGGCTAGGTGGCGTCAATGTATGTTCACATCAACAATGTAGAAATAAGAAGTATAAGCACCAGCAATATTAACCATAAAATGAACGAAATTACTTACACTTTGTGAAAAAGTGATTTTTTCATTTATTATTATACGAGACATAATCCTTTAAGCTGCCCAATTATAATGTTATCCGTGCCATTGCCTTATAGCCAACGCCTCACAAAGCTTCTATATGGCACAGTATTTTAATGTTTTTCCTGCTCACAGGATGTTAATCTTTTATACGCACAGCTATGTTCTTTTTATACGCACAGATGTTAATGCTTTTACTGCCGCACAGTAGGGAATGTTTAGAATGACAGTATGGTAATGTTTTATGCTGCCCACAGTATGTAATGTTTTATACTTCACAGTATTTAAGTTTAATGCCTGCCACAGTATGTTAATGTCTATGCTGCACCAGTATGTTAATGTTTTATCGCACAGTATGTAATGTTTAGCTGCACAGGTATGTTAATGTTTTATACTGACAGTATGCTAATTGTTTTATGCTGCCACGATGTTAATGTTTTATACAGCCGCACAGCGACGTTAATTTTGTTGCAGTGACGGACTAAACCCTTTTTTGTCTTAGTTAAAGCTTAGCTTGCAGGTTACTCCCACTAATAATAAATTTTTCTGTATTCAGCCAGTAGAATAAAGATAATTTAAAAAAATTGTGCAAACGTTCAGTATATTCATATTGGTTTACCAATTAATGTCATTTTTCAGCCTGAAAAATACCGTATCCTTCCCGATCACCGAAAAACCAGTACTACATCAGAGCGACGTATGAGCTTTAGGAATTCAGCTGTAGCTGAAGTGTGTAATATCGTCACCTGTAACAAACAGATACTCGGCGCTCTTGTACAACATTGCAGCTATGACTATAAATCGCATTAATATACTCAATAAATATATTATATTAATTATTAATCTTATATATAATAATAATTAGTTCAAGCAACCACTACGATGATTCGTATTTATGCGAATTTCTTTGATTGATCCAACTACGACCAGTTTGATACAAACTCGATTTTAATCCATCGAAAAAAATATTTTTATGAAATTATTCTCAAGGTTTTTTCGTTCATGACACTTTCGATTATAACCATGATTGAAATAACTACATGTATTAGCAAACAAAATATTCAGTTGAACCTTGTCATTTTGGATATCAGAATGCAGAAATGCCACTCGAATCAAAATATTCTTAGGGGGGGGACATCCGCATGCCTCGAACCCCGGATACTCTGGTCCTGCGTGTACCTCGGCTACACATCAGACTATCTCAATACAGTTTGCTCAGGAAAGTTGGGAATCTGATTATTATATTATATCTTAAAACATGATTAATACAGTGATGGGACTGCTCTTCCACATACACTGTAGTCTCTCGCAAATAACCCCTTACTGCTGAACTTGAGTAAAGATAGTGCTAAGTTGTGAAGACTCCCCTCCGCAAACGTGGTTTCTCCCTGTGCGTATACGGTGAGCTAGCCCGACGGAGAGTTCCATATGGCGACTGGCAGGAAATGACGTATTAAGTGCTAACAAAGGGCTGCAGCGAGGCTCCGCCACTGACTACCCACGAACGCCGGCTTCTCAATATCAATTTCCACCGTTGTACAAAGCTGGTAGTTTAGTGACACGTTGCTAGATTGCGGTGTCAAGTTCCTGCGCGTTATTGCAATAGTATCTCAGGTAACGATTAAATATATTAAATGATTAAATGGCTTAATCAACTATTATCAAAGAATTAAGCTAAAATACAAATAAAATCATATGATTCAATCTATATTTACATCTAACTTTTTCACACATGTCTAAAGGTAGCACTGAGATTGCCACAAGAGTTAAGCTGGTTTACACTACTACTTATGTGGCGAATTGGCCAAATTGGCAATTTCCCCCAACTCCGCGTTGGCGAAAATAAATATTTCTAATCCAGCTAGGTGGCTATGATCGTAGGTCGCGCAACTTTTGCTCTGACACGCAGAGTCTTGTAAGCGGCGAATTGTACAAATTCACCAATTCAGCCAACACAACGTACATAAATCAGCTTTAGTGACACACAAGACCGTCACATTAAGTTGAACCAACACTATCGACATGTCATTGTCATTCGACGCATAGTTTTCGCTTGCGACATTTTCCCCTTCGACCTTCAGCCTCACGAAAGACTACCGGAAGCAGCAAGACAACGAGCTGCTGCCAGCATCACTTCGTGAATACAACTATGAGAGGCCACGATCGATGCCCGCATGTTGCATGCGCCCGGTGAGCGCAGACGCGAGACTCCAGCCCGAGTAATCCTCTCTCCTCTGGCATTGCAAGTGCATTAGTGGCAATCTATATGTCTAGATGACAGTAGTAACACTCATGAGCAGCAAAGGGCGAATCCCCCCCGTACGTACGAGCCAAAGGACACCGGCACCGTGGGGGGTAGAGAAGAAGACGATGGCGGTGGGCGTGGGAGGCTAAACAGACTAGGGCTACCTCAGATGATATGGATTAGACCGCGTCAGTGTTTATACTAGGTGAAACATTTGTAGACCATGAATAGCAGGGCTAGTAGACCCCAAGCGAAAAGGAGAACATGGATAGAGGGGGGGGTCCAATAAAGACTAATTGGCCTAACCCTTAACCCGTTCTAGCACACCTAACCCTGAACCATAGACCTAAAATGGAACCGCCATAACCATAACCCTAACCTAGTATACTGAAAATAATATAAGTTAGTATTGATGGGTAAGAAAAGATAACAGTAGTATATTGATTGGGGGACCCCATGCGTCAGAGAGAGAGAGAGAGAGAGAGAGAGAGAGAGAGATAGAAAGAGAGAGAGAGAGCAAGAGAGAGAGAGAGAGGAATAAGAGGGAGAGAGGACAAGATTCATGCTTGCGGATGTTGTAGTGCGAACATGCGTATGCCCCTCAGTGTACTTGAAATTTATTGACGAAAAATCGTATTGCAAATTGATGCATATTTTATTAAAATGCTGGTAGTGCTGGCATTCCAGTAGGGAGTAAACTTCCTGAAGCATTCTGTAAAATCACGTTCAGTCCCTGCCTATAGAGAGAAAATGCAGTCTTCACTGCTGTGTTTAACAATAATGTGTTCAATTACGGTTGACAGTAATTGTTACATGGTACAACCTCTTGGAGGTGCATTCATTTCTAGATAGAAATTGTGGAATCAAACTGCCGCACAGACACATACACATCTCACCACTACTAGTATTTGAAAGTTTACCAAGGTTACTGTACTCTAACGAAATGTAAATTACATCGTAATGTACAGTATCTATTAGCACGTATGTTGAATGTTGTTAAAGATTACTGTTAAATTATAGTTTTTACCTCAATACCATTTATTCTAACTGCTTACTGGTTGAAAGAGCTCTGTTAGGGCAGGAGTATGTGGTGTCTGGCCACCTGAATAGATAGAGAACTGCTGGGGTGGTGGTTTGTTTGTCTCACATCAAATGGTTATTTGTTTACGAGCAATTGCGCATCCAATCCTGAGAAACCGTTTCTGGGCAATATATGATGTGCAGCATTATTCTGTAGCGTAGGGCTGGTGACTCAAACATCGGTCGGTATGTCGTCGCTCATATATACGCACGATGATGAAGAAATCTTAGGTAACGGACGTTTGACGACGTTCACTGAATCGTTGCCGTGCAGCAAGTCATGGATTTAACGATTAACTATTACACTTCATTGTTATTCACGTAATTATAGGCGCTAATGCTTATAGTAGTATAATTACGGAGAATAATTGCACTCAGTTGCAGTACGGAATATAGTATATATGTATGTGTATATATGTGTGCGTGTGTGAGTGTGTGTGTAAACAATAGCAGGCATATACATTCACACCGATTTGGTAGGTGTGTGTATATTTTCCATGTTGTTTGTGTATGAAATCTTGTTTTGATTTGTATTTTTAAACTCATAGATATGTATATAAAATGTAAAAAATTATGCCATTTCAATCGTTGTATGATCTTTGACGGAAGTATGATGTAGTTTCTGGTCATGTTTCTTATACGGTGAATGCTTGTGTCACTCTAAAGGAATGTTGTGCAGACTTCTTCTTTAAAGTGCTCTCGCTAGGCTTAGATACAAATATCCGGATATTTTTTTAGATATTTAGAAGTTTTCGGGATATTTAGAAAAATCTGGATATTTAGAAAATTCCTTAATATTTAGAAGATAAAACACAATTTTCTCAAATATTAAGGATTTGCAAGGATGAGTTTGTCATCTGGATATTTAGAAAATTCCTTAATATTTAGAAGATAAAACACAATTTTCTCAAATATTAAGGATTTGCAAGGATGAGTTTGTCTTTTCGTGTTAAGATAAACCATCCAGCGGTGGAATGTTTTCAAAATTGTTGCAAAAAACATGTCTAAAGTGTAGAACTGATTACACAAAGTTAAGCTGGGTTTACACTACTGACTTTATGTTGGCGAATTGGGAAATTGGGCCAACTTCCCAACTCCGAGTTGGCGAAAATAGAATATGACCCTTTTTCGAGATATTTGTATCTAAGCCTAGCTCTCGCCCTTTTCGTTCTGCAGACGAGACACAGACAGGGGTGTAACATAGTTTTAGTTAGTAAACAAAGTTTTCTAGCTGACCCAGTCACGTCTGGTGAGGACACTTAGTCCGTCACTATATGATTATCTCTCTTTGTTGCTATTTCGCTTTGTTTGTATTACAATGTGATGATGCTCTGCTCAATAACTTTTTTGTTTGTTAGGAGGCAATTTTAAATAGATCCAGTTACGGGATGAGAGTTTATGTTTCCAGGGATGTTTATAAAGTAAAATTATGGTCTATTTTAATTGTTGCGAGGAGTTACCACGCTTGACACTGTGACCATGTGAATTAGCACATGTTCAAGGTGTTTTCTAGATTGAATTTAATCAAGCAGTAGGCACTGGGTGCTTTAAAATTAGGGTGTGCATGGTTACAGTTCCTAATATAGTCGATATTGTTCTGGCAAGCACACTACAGCTAAAGCTAATTGTGCAATATACTTGATACGATGCATTTTTGGCATTTACATTGCATTTTACTCTATGGTATTTACAATGAACTAAATCCGTGGAACGTTTAATGAAAATCGTGTGCAGCCTGCTAGCTGTGGGTTATGATATTATGAATGCCTGAATTATGTAATGCAATCGATTACCCAAAACATGGCTATTCTGGTTTTGCAATCACTTTCGTATGCATACCCCTACGTTTCACTTGCAACCACTGTTTGAATCTGCATTTGCCTCCTGTACAAGCAAAAAAAGTAGTGCTCCGTTGGCATGTTTTTATCAAGAAAGTGGGTTTGCTTTGCTGGTTGTATTCCAGTGGATACCTAGGTTCGTGCAGGTAATGGAAGTTCTTTATGACTGAGGAATTCTGTTCTGTGGCGTAGCAACTCTTCTAGTAGCGGAGAATTCCCTGTTACAATGCTATATATAGGAAGCGCGCGCTGTTGGCATAGCTTCCTGTAATTTACTATATAACAATGCGAAAATTTTCAAATAAAGTCATAGTTTTTACTTTTAATTTCTAATAGTTTATTGTCGACTTATTGTTGTCCAATCTTCCTTATGTTAACAGCAGTTTAAATTTTAATGTAGTACAAAATTACACTTGAACGTACACAATTTGAAAGAAGATCCTAAGTAAGGTAAGATGAGTAATAGTCTTTCGGTGGAATAATGATGCCACACTATTTTCTTTTGCAAAGAATGATAAAGATAGAAAACGGAGCCTGCATACAATTTTAATTCGCACAAATTTTTGCACTGACTAGATTGCTTTCAAACGCGTTTTGTATCGAAAAACACTTGCTTAACAAGTTAACTATAAGATGACCAACGCGTATTTCTACAGATCACAGGGTTTTGCTCGTCTCCATCGGTAACTTCCTCGTCTGGAATTCCAGTCCATCTCCGGGCAGCGGCGACGGGACCAACGGAAACAGCCACGCGAGTTTCCAGTTCATTCCGAACACCTGCTCGAGGTTTCTCCCCAGTCCCAGGTCATACAGCCGGTTCTTCCTCGCCGATTCATGCGTCGTCTGACCGTGCGCGACGAGCACGGCATGGTAGACGAGCAGAAAGCCGTCGTAGAGCAACGCGGCGAGGCTCGCAGCCGTCATAAACGAGACGAAGAGGGCCCAGCCGCGGCAGTAGCCGGCAATCCAGGCGAAGAACGGGAGAACCATCATGAAGACGTTAGCGAGCGTGAGACCGCCGAGCTCCTCGACGACGTAGTCGACGTTCATCACGTTCGCGTAGAGGGCGCCGACGGCGACGTAGAACAGGAACGCGACGTAGTAGCGCACGTTGGCGTGTCCGATGCAGCCGCCGGTGAACGGGCAGTGGTGGTCGTGCCGCAGTATGCAGGTGTTGCACAGCGAGCAGTGGTGCGAGCGTGGCGGAGAGTTCTGCTCACACTCGTAGCAGTACCTGCAACGATCAACGATTCACAAATGTTTTCGCGCAGACGTTACGGACGTCGGGTTCAGCTGTACTTCTCATCAGTCGCTACAAGAAGATGCGTCACTAGATGAACCAATGTAACAGAGAAGGGCAGCTCCTTCATAGGTTCTGGTTGTCGCATGAAGATTTTCATAATGTTGACTCTTCATGCAACATTAGCTTAAATAAGATTCCTGTTTTTTTTATATGGTTAGATATGTTAGTTCGATTTAAACAATCATTAGGTTCCAGCTATTAGTTTGGAACCATTTAACTAAAACTACTGAAACTAAAGCACTTACAGGATTAGAATATTAAATTGTTTATGTGAATTGATTATTAATTCAATTCTAAAACAACTTCTGTATATGCTGCATACCTCCATTCGGGTTTCAGAACCGTAGGTAGAAACATCCCAGTGGACGACACGTCCACCAGCACCAACATCAGAAAGTTTCCCAGGATATTCGCAACGATGAACGTCAGAGCGCAGAAATGAACATAGGTCATCGTGTGTCCGGCTGGGTAGATGATCGGAATGATAAACAACATCTCGAATAGGTATGATGTCAGGATAAGGAGAATGCAACCGACAAACGGAATCCAGTCTGACGCAACTTTCGGAAGGATGTTTCTCCGGTATGCCATTACTTCTGAAAGGAAATGGAAAAAAATACACATACTGTTGAAGTGGATATAAGCTGTTACATGAAAAATTTAAGGAGGCTGACTCCCCCCACCCCCCATTAAGAGCAGAGTCTCTGTTCAGAACCGGGTAGCTTGTTCCAAATTGCAATGTGTTTGGAGTGTGTAGAGCAATCGATAAATCACTGCAAACAGCGTGTGTGCTCGTAGAGGGCGAGTTTCTCACAATCTATTCGTAGATATCGTTAGATGCGAGTTTGGCTACCTGTTCCATGTTTAAGTAGCAGCTGCAAACTTAAATAAAGCTTAAGGGAGTTAAGCTTAAGTTTGGCCATGGGAATACTAATTGTTATTGCCGTGTGAGTGTGTGCGGGCATTATTGGGACGGCTTGATACGGATTCATTTGTTGGTATAGATATTGTTACGTTGTTTGAGATATGATGTGTGAATGGTGAGTTGTGGTATTCATACGGTGGACGGCAATACATTTACCGGTCAAGACACTAGGGACAGCGCGTCTCCCAAGTCCGACTCAGGGGAGAGATAGTGATCTGCTAGATGGCGCATTATTAATTAACAATTAATAAAATCAGTTAACCCTAAACCTAAGTTCCTAACCCTAACCCTAATCCTAACCCTATCCCTAATTCAAAATAATAATAATAATCACACACACGCCCTCTAGGGAAAGAATTCGGTACCTTGGGAGACGCGCTGTCCCTAGTCGCAGCCCATTTTCTTCACATATATTCTTCTACATATACTATAAGATATATTACATTGTCTTTATCATTGGGTGATACAGTTTTATGTGTAACAATGATAGTTTACTGTAATGTTTTGGTTTGATAACAGTGTTGATTAAACAGAAGTTAGTGGTAGAATTGATATATTAGGAGGCACATTGAAATTAGAAATGTAGGGCTGTCTCTTCACTTAGGTCTCAATGGAGGGGGGAGTATAATATGGTAATGCTTGTCTTGTAATAATGTATACTGAGTACACCATATACCATGCTGTACTGCGCGACAGTAGCCAGAAGAGAAGCTAGTTGGTCACGTGAGCGAACATACGCGGGACGGCAATGCACGCCTGAGTTTAGGTGCGACTAGGCTTGAGCTGTCAGCATGTTTGGACGTTTCATATTGGAATAAAGCGAAAATCGTTGTAAAGATATTCCATACTTTTCTTGCATTAGTATATTGAACACATATTTCACATATGCTGGGTGATAGTCATACCCAGAGTTATAAGAGTTAAACCCAAGCTAAAGCCATTATGTCACTCAGTTCTGTGCAAGAGAGTAACACCACAAGCACTTGGGACAGAGTTAGTAAAAACTGAGAATAATATGAACGTGGCACACTCACAAAAACTACCCGTTTATTACGCTTCCAAGTTCCACTGTTGTGTTACTGTATATCATCTTGCTTTCACAAAAACTCATGTAGAACTAGCCGCTCCCGCCAATCGCCGTTGCGGCCGGGTGTGCTGTGTCGCTAATTAATACACTCATATATAAAGCAAGTTGATGTACAGTGACACAACTCTAGTGGAAGCGTAATAAACGGGTAGTTTTTGTGAATGTGCCGCGTTCATATTATTTTCAGTTTTTACTGATTCTGTCCCAAGTGCCCGTGAGTAAGACGGTGACCACGCTAGGAGTGGGGACACCATGCCGATGCCGACGCCGTTGGCGATGGGGCGGATCAATGGCGGGGTGACAATGAATCAAATCGTCGGGAATGATTCGAAACCGGATCTAGTATTGCAATTGTGCAAAAACTGCGGATTAAAGAAACATTCATTTGATTCGTTGATTCAAACAACGACGTCAACGTGCATCAGTTTGCTTAGTTATATACTAATACTAGGTATTTACATTATTAATTTAATTATTATATTAATTTTAAGACATTGTCATTGGTATTGGTAACAGATACAGTACAAAGATAGAAGGAGCATGATGATGTAACGGTTGGTATGTAGGGCCTAATTTCTGAATTTGGGTACAGAGATAGAATTTGGGGGTCGAGAGAAGCAGTTGCAATTTGCCAGTTGCCAGTTAATCACCAGTTACCAGTGCCACAGTAGTCCCTTGGACTTTGAAGACTATTATTGACGAGTTACGAAATAAAAAGTCAACCCCGATCAAAACAGGCACAAACATAAAAGAACACAAAAACATGAAAAGCGCCGGATGAACAAACGGAACTCGATACAACGTACGCCATCTACAGCTTAAAATATAGCGAATTCGTGCACTATGAAAATAGACCACAATCGATATGTCTTAGCGATGCACTTTCGGCCGATCTAGAGCCGCATTTCGAGGCGTCAGCCTATTTGACAGGAGGCTGAACACAGCAACATGTGTTACATAGTCCAGCGGCTAAGGCCGAATAGTGGCAAGTAATATTTCACTTTTATGAGAAATTATGAAACTGGCAACATACGTAGGGGACACCCAGTGGGGTCATTTTTCGATTAGGGACCCAACTCTGAAACGCCCCGCCTGGTGGCCGCCATCTTGCAATTTCGATATGGCCGCCAGCTGGACATACATTTTGTCTATATCTCAAAGCTATGGCAGATAGAAATGTAATTTTAGTGTCTAAACCCCCCCATTTTTAGGGTCAAAGGAATTCAGTGAAACGCATTATTATGAAGCATCAGGTGTCCGCCAATAATTGGATCCAAGATCGGCCGCTATTAAAGCATAATTGAACTATAACTTTGGAACTAAGAAGATAGAAATGTAGTTTAGTAACGCTAACCCCCCGTTTTCAGGGTCAAGGAATTTCAGTGTAATACTTATATTATGACGTCCAGATGTCCGCCATATTAGATTACAAGATGGCCGCTATGATAAAACATAAATTGACTATAAACTTGGAAACTAAAGGCAGGATAGAAAATGTAGTTTCAGAACTAACCCCCCGTTTTCAGGGTCAAGGATTCAGTGGAACTATTATTATGAACGTCAAATGTCCCGCCATATTAGATTCCAAGATGGCTGCATACCTAAAAATGCAAGCAGGTTTAGTAACACATCATTAATAATGTAAACCTTAAAATGTTGGATGGCAGACGCTTTGACCCAGTCAGACATTGCGGCTGCAGCACCTAGTGAAGATTCGCTTGCGTGCGTCCCATTGAACTAAGACCGCCGTGCACATCAAGGGACTGCTGCAGCTTTGTATCATTTACAGCAGAAAGGCATACCCTTAATTCTAACAGATGAAAACAGTAAAGATAGTCAGGGCCAAACCAGCATGAATTCACA